TGAACCTCCACACACAAATTACTTGAGGATCATTATTGTGCCACTTGAAAATCTCTGCAGATAAGCAATGCTCCAGCATAAAGAAAAAGGAGGGAGGAGCATTGCTGAAGTTAGGGCATTACAGAGCATTGTGATTTTCTTCGTGTCTTCTCCCCTTTGCTCAAGTTGTTAGATCAAGGACCAGCTTAAATGTAATGTGTTCACAATAAAAACCCAAACACACCCATATGTGCTGCCCCCAAACACACTGAAACAATGCCCATTTGGAAATGCTTTCCACAATAACATGCAAGGTACACATCTTGCAAGATGCACAATTTAGACTAGGTCTGCAGTACTTTTAAACGACATTAAGGCTATTCCTGTCCGTAAGTGCTTTCTATATTTCCTTCAAAAATGTTTCAAGAGATTGCCCACAGGCTTTGTTAGTAAAGAAACTTTATCTGTGAAAATGCTTTAAACTGACAGTTTGTTAACACAAATCCATTATATTCAAATCTTAAATAAAATAATATACTGTCTAACAAATAATTATAATAAAAAGATAACACTTGGTTAGATAAGAAAAGCTACATTCCTAGTGATTTTTACTCCTAAAGATATTGAGTAGGATCCAGTGAGATTCCCAGAAAGCCTCTGGCCTGGTAGCCAGCTCCAGAGCTATTAACAGGGAACAGAGGCATTGCAACAGTCTCTGTGAAGCCTTAAAAGCAGAGCCACAAAGAAAATCTGGAGAAGAGCATGAGGTTGAGTCAAGGCTTCTGGGAAGTATTCTGTGCTTTCTTTCACTCTTTGTTTCACTCTTCATCCAGCTGAAGAACATTTTTTTCCACATATATTTAAAATTGTGCGCAACTAATACCAAACGACAGATTATAACAAACTGTTTCTGCTAGGTGCAAATACTTGGTGAAGAGAGAGGATTTAAGTTAGTTCAGCAATAATTATTTTATTGACTTTTGGCAAAATATTAAGCTCCACTGCTTTCCTGAATGACCTTAAAAAAAAAAACAAAACAATTGCAATACACTTCAGGCCAATATTAAGTTTCTATTTTGTACATAGGTATCAAATTTTGGTGAATTTTAAAAAGATATGCTCTTTCCATGCTCCACCTGCTTGAATCAAGACCAAAGGGATCCTTTGTTAAGGAAATTTTGCTTCCAAAATTTCAAAAATTAGGATTTTACTGTTGATTTTTAGAGAGATTCTAAGACATGCATTGTTGATTTGCCAGCAGTTATCTCAGTAGTCCTAACTAGTAATCAAAATCGTTGAAATTATGGGCTTTCTAGACATGTTTTTAATGATAAGGTGTAGTTATTGCCAAGTAATGAAGCGTTGGTGAGTGTACAAACGTTGCTGGAGCCACAGCTGTATTTCTCACAGGATGCTTTTATTTCATCACTCTCATTCCATCACTGACAACTCCAAATGCCTGTTTGAGACAACTGCTGCTGCAATTCATCTGCTGTTCATTCGTAACTGATCTGTAAACCCCCAGCCCCTTTTCCTTCTGGTCTGTCTAAAGGACTTCCCAAGTGGACACACATAATTATACCTGGTGATAAGGTAGGCAGGTTATGCCCCCTACAAGGTCTTTTAGTGCTTGAGAATTCAGTGTACACAGCCTATGCAGCAGATATGTGTTCATGTTACTCTTGCCATTAGTGTTAATTTGACCAATTTGCAATTTACTGTTCCTTCAGTCTCTTCTCCCACTGTTGAAGCTTTCCTATCAAGGCTTCCTTTAAATTATATTGAAAGCAGGAGATAAAGGTTGTCTCCCTTTAGCTTTTAAACATACTAGTCCTTTGCAGAGCTGAAGAGGAAATAGCTGACCCAGGGGAGACTGGAAGAATACCCTGCCAAGTAAACCTCCTATGCAGGACAGAAGTAGACATAAAAACCACAATTCTGTACTCCAGGGCTACTCATTTCCCTCTTTTACTGAGAGCAATGTGACATTTGTCACGTCTCTCCTCCTTGAAGGAGTGTTTGTGTGTCGTGTACCTGGTTGCTAAGATGATCCAAGCAAACAAGCTCTCTCTAGGGAGAGCATAGCAGGACACTGATGTACTGTGGAGGTGTTAGAAGTCAGGTGGGGTTGATTGTGTGTTCTTTCAAGTCCTGCTTTCAGAGCAGGAAAGGATTTTTTACCCACTGGAGTACATGTCTAGAAGCCTTTGAAGTCCCATTGCTGGAGTTGTTTAGTCCCATTATATTGTATGTTTAGTAGAGATTATAAAGTGGAGAGGCAGGGCAAGAGAAAAGGCATAGCAAGGAGAAGAAGGATGAATTTCAAATGGTTCTTTGCCCCTGAAATTATTTGTTATAGACAAAAGTTCTTGTGGATGAGTTTTGCTGTTACTAAGTAGCTGAACAGGTTTGACAGATATCACCTAGAAGAGGATATTGAGTGCTCTAAGAGCTATCCAAATGAAATATCATCTCCATTCTGTGAAATTTCACTGCAGACTGAAGGATCACTCTTCTGTTGGAAGAGCTGTTGATTTTTTAGTTCTTTTATGGTTTTGTTTAAAGTGGTCATCTTGCACAAAACTGGGACATCAGTTCAGACATCAGCAGACAACTGGTCTGCTGGCTTTGTGGAAGCCACATTTATGCTAAAGGGAAGAGTAACTGCTTGTTGCTCTTAATTTCAACTAAAGCCTTGAAGGTGGCAATTCAACTAATTCACATTTTTTAATATTGATATTGAATTGGGCTTGTTTCCAGTTTGGCACCTGTTTTTGTAGATACTTGAAAACTCTTTCTAAAAATATTTTAGGGATGTTTCCAGGGCTGGTGAACTGGTCCAGTCTGATGGGAGGACACTGGCCAGTTGACTTGCAACAGAGCTGGCTTTTAGTACTGCTGCTGTCACTGGCTTGTTTGGAGGCTCTGGACAGTAATTTCATGATTTTGTGACTCCATTTTCTTGCCTCTAAACCAGGGGTGGTTATTTTTATTTCCTTTGTAAAATGCTTTGAGATTTGCTCTATACCACAGCTAACATTGCTAGTAGTAATCATATATATTGCTCTTTTAAAATCATGGGAAACTATCTGTGATTCTAATTTAGTCCCTGCAGTCAGTGGGGGTCCCTAAAATAATTCAGAATTAAGATCTGGGAGAGAGTGGCTGTTGTGCAGACATGCCCACACTCCAGAGACGCAGCTGCAGCTCCCGCAGGAATGTCCAAGCTCGCTCTGAGCTCTGGCCCTGCTGACAGGGTATCCCTGCTGGTGTGGAGCCCAGCATGAGCTGCTGGTGCACCCAAGGAGCTCGGTGGATGGATGCTGGGGTGATGAGCCCATGCTGAGCTCCGTCCTGCAGCACTGGCACTGCTGGGGCATCTCCCCCAGTTAATTTAAAGTTAACACAAGCTGTGGTGGGGCTGTGACTGCAGCATAAAAATGCACCCTACAGGAGACCACAGGCAGCCAGAGCTTCTGAGAAAGTGTCTTAGTTACACTTGCAACCAAGCACAGGCTGTTGGCATCATTTCAAATTAACCTTGCCTTTGGCTCATCATTCTTCGTATCTGCAAATATAGCTCAGCTCTTGAAGGGAAGGGTTTGTTTTTCATCTTCACCTGTCATGAATGGTGTTCTAGACTAGATAATGCTTTTAAGAAAAAAAAAATTAAATGCCTCAATTTTCATTTTAGTTGCCATTTCATCCATACATAACTCTGCTCTACCTTCTTTCCCATTCAGAATGTGGAGGAAGCTTTAACATGGTGACAGTTCTGCTGAGAAGTAGGCACTGTCACTGTTTTGAGAGAGAAAGAGAAATTGAGGCAGTGGAAAATTTGTCTGCCATGGAAGACAAAGTGGGAGAAGGAATTGGTTCTATTTATTTGTCTTTCCCTAGGGGAACCAGTGGTGTTGGGATCACATGGACTGTATCAGTAACTAAGAAATTCACAAACAGTTACATCCTAATCCATTTTTGCCAGGTCCCCTGTTTTTGTACACCTTGTACCAATGTTTATAAGAGAAATCATAAGCACACTTTAAAATGACACAGCAAATTAATAATAAACAAAACAATTCAGTATTTTATGGAATGAGCTTCCTCTTAGGATGTCTCAGATAAATAAAACATCATTTAGAAGTGTCTCTGAATGATGGTATTGTAGGAAAGGCATCTCAAAAAATCAAGTAGTAATGATGACATCATTTTCTGGTTTATAATCTTCTTTAACATGTTTACAATATTTGGCTCCAAATTTAATTGCTTATGAGTAAAGTATACATAGAAAGGATCTGGCTTTTAAGTCTCATTAGCTGTGCTAAGTATCAATTCATTTGGCAAAATAATCTCCCAGAAAACAATTTTTGCCAGTTCAGTGCTCTTTGATGGCTGATTTCTCAAAGATCTATTCTGAGTATAGAAAGGAGCCACATGATTCATTCAGCTTGTGCATATCTATTTTATCTCTATAGAAGGATTATATATGGAGAGATAAAGGTTTGTTAAACAAAGTATCATTAATCACCCTGTCCGGAAATGTAGACTTTGCAGGAGCATGCTGTAATTTGCATCACTTTTGCTATGCCTTGTCACTGCTGCTGGAGAGAAATAACAAACCTGTATTTATGAAAAGGACAGGTTTAAGACGAAAATAATTCTATCCGAAAACTGTGAGAATGGTACAGAATCCTGTCGCCTGCACTCGATCAACGGCAGAACACTGTATTTGTAATAAATTCCTTTTGCTCTGGATGAGTTCTGCATTTTCAATGAGGTTAACTTGGCAACATTCTAGTTGATTTTAATAAAAATAGCTGCTTTGAGGACAGGGAGCTGAGGTTGCCAAATTTACAACTGCCTTGCACAATTACTCTTACACCTCCTTCAGGGCTACTTAGAACCAGTAAGCAAATTAAGTGTATCGATTGCAATTTTGTTGGACTAACCCTTTTTTCTTAAGGAATAAACTTGATTCCTTTCAGTATGTGTCTGCTCAGAGTGATCTCTTTTCTTTTCAGCCATAACACAAAGACAACATCATGGCTGGATCCACGACTTGCGAAAAAGGCTAAACCTCCAGAAGAGTGCAAAGAAAATGGTAGGTGATTAAGTTTTCCTTGCTGCTCAGAGGGGATTTTCCTTTGTGTGTGTGTGTCTCTTTCAGTTCTTACAAAAATGAGGCATTTGGGGGAATGATGAAAGGTGTTTAATTGCTGCTTTGGTTAGAAGCCATAAGTGATACCAGTTCTCAGTGTGCCATGTGTTTCTGCTTTTTATTCCCCTTTCTGATGCTATCCAAAGCTGAGGATCACAAGTGTGTTTTCTGCCTGTTGTGTGTGTGACTCCGGGACTGACCCTCTCCCTCATCTCCTACTGAGAACTTTGGTCTGCAGAACAGAATCCTTTTCAGATTCTGAGCTTTTAATCTACAGGCGATTCAATGCATAAGGGAAACTAGCAGCACCGTGGGAATATGAATATTGTTTGATTTGTATTTAAAGGTACAGTGCTATGCTATTTAATAGCCAATTTAAACAAAATAGTGTCTGATAAAACAGGGTGTGGGAGGGAGAAAAGAGATCAGTGTCTGTCAGAGTTCAAGGCTGGATTTGGGGGGGTACTACATTGCTAATGCCTTAAAATTTAAAAGCATACATACTGCTGAGGATGCTTAAAGGAGCTGTGGCTGTTTTGCAGGAGAGATTATTATATTGACAGATTCAGAGATTTGAAATAATACAGATCATACCAGTATAATTTCTGATTTTTATCTGGTAAAGTTTATCAGTATTTAAAGCATTTAATAAAGTCAAGGCTAGGATGTGTTGTAACCGATCTGTTTCTGATAAGGGTTTTTTTTCATTGTTTTATACTTCCATGTCAGATTAGTCAGTTAAGATGTTGTGATTTCTAAGTACTGCTACTTATTTTATTGTTGTGAGATACAGAGCATTAAATGCATGCATGCTACGTGCATTAATTCAAAGCATTTTAAAATATTTTAAATGTGTTCATAAGTTTTCATATACTGCATCTGATTTATTTTAAATTTTCCAAAACACATTCATTTGGTTAATGTGAATACTATTAACAGAAAGGAAGCTCAGGGCTGATTAAGAGGTCACGGAGGAGTTGCTGGCTGTATGAATTGCGGGGTCAGTGGTTTGGTAAAAAATGTTCCCGGGTTGGATTTTTTTGTAAATGGCTTTCTTTTGAAAGATTGCCGTACTCCAAAAATAGCTTCCTTATTTCAGCAGCAATTCTGACGTTCTCTTCTGACATCAGAAATTACATGTCTGAATGATTTTGTGATGCTTATTCTAGCACAGACAACACGAGCTCCCAGACTAAATTCTACAGTGATTACAATAGAGGTCTGACACTGAAACAAAACAAGGGCACAGGAGCTTTGCTTTCTAAATCTCTCACATTACTTATATCATTGCCTGCTCCTTAGATAATAATAATGGGAAAAGCAGGAAAAAATCTACCAATATCTGTGGAATAACATTGCACAGAGTCACTTGGAGTAAATATGTGCTGGTTTTTTGGCTTTTTTTCCGTTAACTGTTGTACACTGAGATCAGAACAGCACTGACATGTTAAAAATACCCAAGTGTCTGAAACAATTTAAAATTAAGATCAGCGCATTAAAGAAAAAGCATTATTTTATAGTTATTTGACTACTGGATTACTGAATCACCATAGTGTGCTGGGTCATGTTGTTCTTTTAAGGTTGCTTAGCTCATTAATGCAAAGTACTTGGAGTGATGCATAAAAGACTTTAGGGAGAGATTTTCTATTCTTACAATGATTGTTCTTCCAACATCTTATCTTTTCTAAGGTTCTGTTTTTCAAAATTGTCATTTGTCTTTTTTTTTTTTTTTAATCTAATACCTGCAGAGGAAAAAGTTCTTCAAAATCACTTATATGCCTTAAAATTACTGTACCTTGCCAGAGTAGTCCAACACAAGGAACTTTATTATAGCACACAGGGATTTGTAATTATTGTTAAAATTTAATCTAACTTCAATAATTAATTTCAGCTATGGCTTGGTAGATTTTTTTATGCCAAACATATTTTCTGTTACACTTTGTGATTTATTCTGGCATATTTTACTCAGAGAAACAAAATTTAAGAAAGACATCAGTGTTTAGATAGGAAATTATACCTACCTTGATGCTTTATCTCTACATTCATAACTCTTGCTTTTCATTGACATTCATTTTGCCACATCTGAAACTTGTATTGATTCTCTGAGATACATTATGACTTCTTTATCATCTACCAGATTCTGCTATCAGGTTTTGATTGTGAATAACCCAAATTTTGTGTTCTCCTTTCAATGCAAATCCTGATAAATCTTCCTTCTTTCTGCCACCAGCCTGCAGTTTCCACACCAGGCAATGTCCAAGCAGAGCAGGATATCTGAGTCCTGATCTTCTGGGCCGGTGATATTGAGGGCCCCCTCTGCTGCAGGCATTTCCTCTCTTCCACTTTCTGCTCTTCAATGCTCCTTTGACAAATATGATTTCTTCATTATCTCTGGCTTCTGTGGCTGCAAATCCCAGAGCTTGTTCATTTCCTTTCGCAAAATCTGAATCAACCTTCCAGCACATCCCTCCTCTTAAAAAATTTTCACATGCTTTTGCCAAGAGATTGACAAGCTCTACCAAGTCAACCTTTCTTCACCTACATCCTGTGGACTCCTTCTGTTTTTCTTTAATGATACCTACTGCTCTAAATTCCTTTGTAGGTCAGGAGATTTTAAGTGATGATCTTCATTTCTGTCTCTCTGTTGCGGAATTTCTGTGTGAGTTTCAGCAAATTACTTTGACTTTTGCTCTGTCAGACCTACTTAGATGGCAGGACTTTGAAGCAAGAACCACCTCTTATGCTCTGTTTTTATGGTGCCAATCTGAGTTTCATAATAGCAATAAGCAGAAATAGCTGGCAGTTCTACACTAACAGCTGCAATTTTTTACACTTTTCTGATTTCCTCCAGAAAATCTTAACCTTACTAGAAATATTTGCTTTTTTTCCTGCTGAAAATGTAAGTTAAATATTTTTTGTTGTCTGGATTTAAATACTACTTTTAATTTTTTTTTTCACATCAAAATTAGTTTAACAATTATTATGTGCAGAGTACTAGAGAAGTTATAGTTCTGCCCCCTTTGCATCTGTGAGCTGGATTCCCTCATTGCTAAACTTCCTGTAAAGTCATATAACATAGCAGATTCACAGGCTTTGCATGATTACAGGTATATTATGTGAGTGGTCTTCTAACTGAGTCTGTTCTTCAAGAGAGAATATGGGAAAGAATGATGAGTCCCATAAGACAGTAAAAATGCAGTCTAATACTGAAAGGCAGCTCAGCTGTAATAACATGAAATATCCCAGGTTTTAGAAAGTTCATTTTTTAATTAAGAAATGTAGCAATTAATATTTTCAAATTCTTTAAGTCATTTTAGGGAACTTTTATTCTGGAGAAAAAATCAACAATTTCTTCTATATCCAGTTTGGGGATTAAACAGCTCTTGAAATTTCCTGGGATCAAATAGGTCAAGTTTGACATATTTCCTTTAAAAATTTCACTAATTTCATTACTAATCCATCCCATTCCATAGTCTCTATTACTCTTAGCCCTCTCTTTCTTTTTATGTCAACCTCCTTTTTCCCATCCCCCACTTTTCAAATATGAGTAGGCCTACAACTATAAATAAAACTTTGATTTCACCTAGCATTCATCCATCATCTGTCTTTCCATCTCCTCTACACCCACCAACTTGACTGCAAAATATAGATATTTATGTAGGGTGAGCTGAGTTGCCTTTATACTTCATTGACTGCAAATGTCAGCTCTGCTTTGGCACTTAGAGGACACAGACACCAGATTCACCTGTGTGAACCCTGCATGCAGACAGGCTGCTGCACTTCAGTGTTTTCATGTTGAACTGAAACTCAGCCCATCCCATTTTGTTGGGTTGTGTATTCCCCATTCCTGCAGTCCCAGGCAGTGCCTTTGATGCTCTCACTGCCCCACACAGCTCTCCAGAATTCATCATTGCTTACTTGATTCCTTACTATACTGCAGTAACATGTACCAACCTTTCATATTGCTGTTGTATAGATGCATTTGGGCATAGGCATGATGGTTTTATGGGCAAAGCATTACTTCTTGATTCCCTCACACATATTTCTTGCTGGAAGCCATGTAGAGAACTTTTATCTCATATGGATACTGTTTGTGTTTTCTGATACATGTTAATGGCAGCTTGTAGAGGGTTGCCATTAACCCTACAAATAGTTGCCATACTTTCCTACAAATAGTTTTTATTTTATTGTTTTTACTTAAAACTCTCTTTGCAGATTATTAGCCCCATTTTAAGTATTATTTAATCATGTAATGTAATGGAGCTGGCATTACTTGTAGTAATATTGATCACAGTCATTTTTTTCTGTCATTTTTTGATATATTGAATATGGTTTTCTCTGCTTGCCTTTTCAATTTGCATTAATTAAACCATAACAAAATATTTTGAACCGCTATGAACTTTGGAAGGGCATTTCATGCTGGCAACACCATCTGGGCATTCATTGACCAAAACACTCTCCAATGCCAAACTCACAATAATGATAATAAAAATAAGAAAAGGGTCACCTCATTCCTGGGAGTTCAGAAGACACTTTTCTGGACAGCCTGGTTCAGTGACACAGCTTATTAGAGTAATTCTTCATCCTTGGATAAGTTTTCAGACAAAACAGCTGTCCACATGTGCATAGCTTGGCTGGGCAGCATTCTGGTATCTCTCTGGGGGGAGGTCTTGCATAGAGTGAAGCTTCCTTGGAGGACACTTATCAGTGGAAGAGATAAGTCCTTTGAGCTGTAATGGACTACTGAGTATTACTTTGCCTTCAGAACCATTAGAGTTTCTCACAGTCTCAGCCACACAAATCCCTGCAGAGTGCTAACAGTGATCTTAAATAGAGCTGGTAATTGCAAGGACAAGAAGGAGTAAAAGTAGAGAAAAAAATTCTGTTTTCCTTGATTATTTAGTGAGCATTTGGCTCTCTCATACTCACTGCTCCCACTGCTC